GATGTCTAACCAGATCTAATAACTGTTAAGTGTTTAAATATATATCCTGACTGGCTGTGAGTATATGTTGTTGCTCACTCACTTTGAGCTTTAGACTGTACTTGAAATGTTTTAATGTCTTACTAATTTTTGATGTTGTGAGTTTGTTTTTTAAAGTTTTTAAAGCCGATGTCAGGGCTGCCTTTGAGTCTTATGTTTTCCTTTTTAGTCATCGTTGATGTTTGGGCGGATACAAGAAAAGGAATTGATGAATCTTCTCCACCGTGGTGTTGTCCTCCTCTGCGTTGTTGGGATCGGCTCATTGGTTTGCTCAGGTGGATCCACCCTCACTTCCTGTTCCACCTCCAACTCCACCTTTACCTCCACAAGCTCCTCCTTCACCATGGAGAGTGCCTTTGGTGGTTTTTTCAGCTGTTTCTTCAGCAAGGCGGCTATCTCTGCATCCTTCTCCTCAACACAACGTTCCTTCTGTTGTTCCAGTTCGTGGTTTCTCTCATGCAAAGCGACTATCTCTGCATCCTTCTCCTCCACACAACGTTCCTTCTGTTGTTCCAGTTCGTGGTTTCTCTCATGCAAAGCGACTATCTCTGCATCCTTCTCCTCCACACAACGTTCCTTCTGTTGTTCCAGTTCGTGGTTTCTCTCATGCAAAGCGACTATCTCTGCATCCTTCTCCTCCACACAACGTTCCTTCTGTTGTTCCAGTTCGTGGTTTCTCTCATGAAAAGCGACTATCTCTGCATCCTTCTCCTCCACACAACGTTCCTTCTGTTGTTCCAGTTCGTGGTTTCTCTCATGCAAAGCGACTATCTCTGCATCCTTCTCCTCCACACAACGTTCCTTCTGTTGTTCCAGTTCGTGGTTTCTCTCATGCAAAGCGACCATCTCTGCATCCTTCTCCTCAACACAGGGTTCTTTCAGTTGTTTGAGATCCTGGTTTGCCTTTCTCAAGGTGGCCATCACTGCTTTGTCCATCTCGTGCATCTTGAGGAGCTTTCCATATTTCATGTTCAGTTCCTCATTGTTTCCGCGCAAGATTTTCTGCTCAATTTTCAGGGCATTCATTTTCACATCGTGCCTCACTTCTGGTTCCACTTTCACCTCAACAACCTCTTTCTTGTCCACCTTCGCCTCCTCCACCACACAACGTTCCTTCTCTTGTTTCAGTGTTTGGTTTTCCTTCAGCAAGGCAGCCATCTCTGCAACCTTTTCCTCAACACAACGTGCCTTTTGTTGTTCGAATTCCTGGTTTGCCTTTTCCAAGGCGGCCATCTCTGCTTTGTCCTTCTCATGCAACTTGAGGAGCTTCCCATATTTCATGTTCAGGTCCTCATTGTTCAAGCGCAATACTTTCTGGTCAATTTCCAGGGCATTCATTTTAACATCATGCCTCACTTCTGGTTCCACCTCCACTTTCACCTCCACATCCTCCTTCTTGTCCACCTTCTCCTCAACACAACGCTCCTTCTCTTGCTTCAGTGTTTGGTTTTCCTTCAGCAAAGCAGCTATCTCTGCATCTTTCTCCTCAACGCAACGCAACTTTTGTTGTTTGAGTTCTTGGTTAGTCTTTTGCAAGGCGGCCGTCTTTGCATCTTTCTCCTCAACACAACGCTCCTTCTCTTGTTTCAGTGTTTTGTTTTCCTTCAGCAAGGCAGCTATCTCTTTATCCTTCTCCTCCACACAACGCTGCTTCTGTTGTTGGAGTTCCTGATTTGTCTCACACAAAGCAGCCATCTCTACACCTTGCTCCTCAACAAAGGGTTCTTTCAGTTGTTTGAGTTCCTGGTTTGCCTTTCTCAAGGCAGGCATCTTGGCTTCGACCTTCTTGTGTGACCTCTGGAGGTTTCTGTATTTCATGTTCAAGGCCTCATTGTTGACGCGCAAGACGTTCTGCTCAATTTCCTGGACTTTCACTTTCACATTGTGCTTAAACTGCAAAGCTGATTTCTCTGTATATGCTTTGAGCATCGCTTCCTTCTTTTTAGCGCCTTCAATCTCAAGCTTATCCCTTAAAGTCCTCTCCTGCTCCAGCTCCTGATTTTCTTTTTGCAGAATCTCGAGCTTGACTGCCAGCTCATCTCTATTGTTCATCTCCATCTCTACTGCTGTGACGAAATGACCTGTTGTTTAGCAAACTAAATGTAATTGTTCGACTGAATTAACGTCACAAAAATCCCACAAAAGTTGAGTTCACTTGTGAAGATTATCTCGCTAAAAAACACTGCAAGTATCCCTAATGTTTGCTTGCAACAAAACCTATTTCTGCAATGATCTGACACTAGCTGGACAAATTGCTTCTTCTGCCTGCTGCTCTGGTGCTCTGATGCTCTGATGAATTCTAGAAGATCAATGCAGAATTCAGAATTCTACATAAAGGCGAAAGATGATGTCATAATTCTGAAGGTTCCATTCCAAATAAGGACTGAAGGACATCAGCTGACAGGAAGTAAGAATGGAACCATGCTGTTGCCCTAGCAACGCAATTGTGTTTAGATAATATAAAGAAATGTAAACAATCGAAATGCTTTATTAATTCCAATGGGAAGTAAGCAACATGTTCTATTATTAGTACAGCGGATAAGCTCTCATATTATAACAATTGTGCATTTTATGAGAAAAGCATGACATTTCTAACATAGTTAGAGCATACCATAAGGTTTATTTTCAGATGTGGAGGGAAGTCAGATTTGACCCGTGAGGACCGTGAGAGGTCAAATCCAAGATGGCCACCAGTCTCTCGGGTCAAATGTTCAAACACGCTTAATTTTGGAACAAAACATTGTAGAAAAACATTTAAGGTGTCATATCCAACTAAATTAGGGATGCCCAATCATTTGGTGATACTTTTGAGATCGCCAGAATTCAAGAAAATGAATTTAGTTGAAGATAAAGGTAGAAATTGACCAAAAATAAGCTGTCAATCAGTTGAAATTTGCTGTGTGTGTGTGTGTGTGTGTGTGTGTGTGTGTGTGTGTGGGGTATATTCCAGTGGATTTATGGTCACCCAGCGCTAGCATTACTACAGAGACTGGAGGAATATGGCTTTACTTGGCACAGTCTGCATGCTGATGAAACATTTGTTTTTGTCTTCAAATACATACTAACATGATTGTGACGAGCATCATATTTGTTCCCCGCCCAACTCTCTAAGTCTAAGTGCTTGAACTCCGTGACAGGAGGATGAAGTATGTATAAATGGATGGAACTATCAACAAAACAGCGTTTTATTCCCAATGTCATATTAATAGAAAAATAATAATAATAATGTAACCAAAGAGGGAGATGGAAAACAGTTCCATGTAGAGCACAAACAGCTCTCTTAACCCTCGCTGTTAACAAAGGGCTGCACTCAACTATAAGGTTCACCGCTGTCCCTTTCCACTTATAGAGGGTTGGGGTTCGATTCCCTGCTGTCCACCTATAAAGCCAAGGTAGCGCAGGCTTTTAGTTTTTTTCTGTTCCTTTAGTGGCTCACATGGACATTTAGAGGTCATGCAAAGAAAGGGTTATGTATGTTGTGTGTGTGACAGAGAGAACATTGGCAAAGGGGATTTGTTTGTCCTAGCATGGCTGTACAATTACAAATACAAAGGTTTAACCCATTTAGACTCCATAGCATGGAGAAAAAAACCTCATTTTAAATGACTCTAAGGATATAACAAGTTTTAGAAAATTGAAAGATTGATGGATTTTTTGCCCACATGCGGTAAACATCTTAATTGAATGTTCTATGTGCAACATGAGGACAATAAACCACAAGTGTACTCACAGTACCTTTTTTCTCTGGCACTGAAGTTGCAAGGTTTCAGCATGTTGTCCCTCTCTATACCTTTCTGTTCCCCATTCTTCTTTCTCCATAAGTGGTGCATCATTATTTTTTCTATTAAATATGACATTGGGGAATAAAACGCTGTTGTTTTGTTGATAGTTCCATCCATTTATACATACTTCATCCTCCTGTCACGGAGTTCAAGCACTTAGAGAGTTGGGCGGGGAGCAAATATTATGCTCGTCACAATCATGTAATTATGTATTTGAAGACAAAAACAAATGTTTGCTTCAGCATGCAGACTGTGCCAAGTAAAGCCATATTCCTCCAGTCTCTGTATTAATGCTAGCGCTGGGTGACCACACACACACACACACACACACACACACCAACTGATTGACAGCTTATTTTTGGTCAATTTCTACCTTTATCTTCAACTAAATTCATTTTCTTGAATTCTGGCGATCTCAAAAGTATCATCAAATGATTGGGCATCCCTAATTTAGTTGGATATGACACCTTAAATGTTTTTTCTACAATGTTTGGTTCCAAAATTAAGCGTGTTTGAACATTTGACCCGAGAGACTGGTGGCCATCTTGGATTTGACCTCTCACGGTCCTCACGGGTCAAATCTGACTTCCCTCCATATCTGAAAATAAACCTTATGGTATGCTCTAACTATGTTAGAAATGTCATGCTTTTCTCATAAAATGCACAATTGTTATAATATGAGAGCTTATCCGCTGTACTAGAAGTGAGTTCATACTAGAAACTCGTTTGAGCCGAGACCGCATTTCTGTAGTATCACTGCGCCATCATTTTTCAACTTTCGGCCAATCACAATCAAGCTGGGACCATACTTCAACATTTGGCCAATCATAAGCAAGCTGTGACCGCATTACTGTCATATCACTCCGCGTGATAACATGGTCGCTCTATTACACAGTGCCGAAAGCTAGAGTAATTTGAACGATAGCAAATGTATATTAAATAACTATCCGAATACTATAACATTTGAATTGCTTGTATACAATGACTTTGGCATACTATAACGATTTTCGAGATAAGAAATGGGACTTTTAAAATATATTTCCACTTCCTATTTAATCATTACATTTCCTCTGATATTCCTGACATAATATACTATGACTTGTGACATACTTTACAATGAATTCCTTCATAACACAATCAAATGACAATGACAATAAAAAAGACCACACTTCCAGCCTGCACTGTTGAAAAATCTGTATTTATTAATGATTTACAAAAGGCTAAACATGGAACCATTTCAATGACTCAGTTCATTTTGAAACCTATAAAGGATTTGTTGTGAGTGGAGAGAAGCGTGTAGTCTGTAAGTGTTTCTCACGTCAGTTATTATAACAGCATCTTATCTCATTGTGAAGAATCTGTTTTTAGTGGAGGCTCCTGGAGAGAAAATGAAATCCACACACAGGATGGAGACACATTTGAAACATCACTACCATTTTTTTTTTTTAAACTGGGGCACATTTTTTACATCCGCAGTGTTGGTGAATTATGCTAATTGTGTGTGTAGATATATTTGTACAATCCCAAGTATATCACCTTGGGATAAAACCCCCCAAAAACCTCTGGATCTTCCCGCTGGTGTGAGAAGAGAACACTATCTGTCTAATGCAGAAAAACACAGATGTATTATTACCACAGTACGAGAGGTCCCAAATGTAATCCACTTCTCTACACAGTTTGCAGATACACAGTTAATATTGAACAGGTTTTTGTGCAAGTATGTTTTTTCTCCTCACGAATAAATATCTGTAAAGCAAACAAGGACTTAAAGAGTTTTTTTATTTATTGTGAAAACCAACATTAATCACATTGTGAATGAAAAGAAATCTGGCTTGAATTTCAGGTACAATCCATCAAATTAATCTCACACAACTCTGCAAATAAAAAGACTATTAGATTAAAAAATAACCTCAGATCGGGGCCAAACATTTAAAAAGTGTAACTCAATACAGTCCAGTTTTAGCGGTACTTCCTGTTGGATTTTATGTTAAATCACATTAGTTTTTGCAGATTTTAGTAGCATGGCAGGTTTCTACAGTAGTAAAAGAGTGAGACAGTTGTGGACCCAAATATTTACAGTATTGTTGTGCACTTAAAAGATCCTGTACGATCCTCCTCTGGAGAATCATCTAAAACATCACAAAAAAAATAATCCCATGCTTTCTTGCTACGGAATGAAATAACAGTGTTTCCACTCACTGAGAATTTAATTTTTTTTTAAAAACAAGAAAATAAAAGTTGGTCTGGAGCTCAGCCGTGGGAAAAAAAGGCTTTAAAATAACACAGTAAAATTGTTCAAAAAAACAAATTTAAAATGAGAATAAACCTTTCTGCTTCCCCTTCGCCCCCAAGGACCATTTCATAAACAAAAATATATCCCCCTTTTGTCGAGTGATTCTCAAATTCTCACTAGATACAATGAAAACGTTTTTACAGTGCTTTATCATTATATATCTTTGACAGTTAACGAGGGGAGGAAGATTTTTTTAAGCCATAAATGTCTCTCCTATTGCAACGATATAGCTACGTCAAAAAAAGTGAATGGTCCAGTTATTCAATGATTAAAAATAAAAACACAAAGAAAGCGCCGTGTTTTTTTTTTGTCCCAGGAGCACTTTCACTTTACCGGGGAGACGTGAAGTTGGGGGGGTGGGGGGGGGGGGGGGGTGGAAAGGCTCGGGCTATAACGTGGTGTTGGGTTCGGTCTATCACTTGGTGTTGAGCTCGTTCTCCAGCTCCATGAGTTTGCGTGAAGCTTTGACCTTGTTGGAAACCTCCTTCCCCTGAGAGAAGAGACGCTGGCGCTCCTTGAAGGTCATACTCTCCGGAGCGCCGCTGGGGATCGAGTTCTCCTGCTCCTGACTGCCCCACACACACACACACACACACACACACACACACACACACACACCACACACACACACACACACACACACCACACACACACACACACACACACACACACACACACACACACACACACACACACACACACACACACACACACACACACACCCACACACACACACACACACACACACACACACACACACACACACACACACACACACACACACACACACACACACACACACACACACACACACACACACACTGTATTTCAAGATACTATGGCGTTTGTTTTTTGACATACTATACTGTTTCTGTGTGAGATACTGTACTATTTCTTTCAGATATTTTCGACATACTAAAACACATTTTTGGACATTTATTTAGATACTATGACATTTTTTGTCAACATAATATACTATGACGTTTTTTCAGATATTTTCGATATACTACACTATAAAAATGTTTTTGACATGCTGTACTAAGAATAATTTTGGAGAAACTACTGTATACATTACTTTAAATTTAGCTTACGCTTTTATCCAAAACGACTTGCAATAAACCATAAAGATTCAAACTAAGGACAACAAGAACAGTGCTGACATGTTAACTTCAAACAGGCAATATCATAAGTGCATCAGTAAAACTCTGAAGTGCGTTTATTTTTTGGGGATTATTCACCAAGGTACAAGACATACTGTACCATGACCGTTATCCTAATTTATTTAACACGCTACTACGACTTTTTTCCCTCCAACATCCAATAGTGGTTATATCCAATAGTGGAGAAGTACACATCTTCACTTTTCGACAAACCTAATGTTTTTTTTTCCAACATGAATTTTTTCCTTTTTAATAATAAAACCATTTCTCACGTCTTTGTCCATTTGTCCCGCGGGTCGTTGTAGACTTCTCCTGATCCTACAACTCCTGCTGAGTTTCCAGTGTACGAGTTATATCCTGAGGTTTAGCAGACAGATACAAGTTAGCAAAGTTCATATTTCAGCTTCTGTTCAATCGGAAAACATCTGAAACAGAAGCTGCTGGCTAATGGCTGTTGCAGTCTCAGGTACCCCCCCCCCCCCCCCCTTTCTTACTCCCATAATCACACAGAAACCAGAGGGAAACAGGTCTTATTTCCCCATATAATCTGGTGTCCATTAACCAGCAGCTTTTTCATTTCCCACAGACCAGTGTGAGCAGGAAGAGGAAGCGAGGAAGGGGTTTCTGGAGGAAGCGTTAAGGCAGATAAAAGTCAGATCTCATCAAACTAGAGCAGCGAGGCGAGAAAAGAGAAAGCGTTAAACAAGCTGTTACAGGGCCATTCCAAAGCAGCGAGAAATGGTCTGTGGAAGTGTTGAAGGATCCGAGGCCGAGGTCACCGTTACTTTTATTCTGAATTATCTAAATGTTCTGACTTCGTTATTTAAGGTATTATAGGTTTTACTTGTTGTCCTTTTGATCCAATGTTGAAAGCTCTTGTTTAGAAGTCTTAATAGTATGTGTTAATAGAGTGCCGCAGTGACGCGTCCTAAAACCCGGACGTAAGCTTCTTCCGGTTCCCTCGACAAAATGTTTTTCGATTTATGATTTGAAAAGGATAAAAGTAGGGTAGACATGTGGAGATTATCTGACAGAACAAAACGTGATCAACCACAGACCTTATTTCGAGGTATTTTCCAAAATCCTATGGAGAAATCGCATTGCGTTTTTGTCGATGGAACCGGGAGAAGCTTACGTCCGGGTTTTAGGACGCGTCACTGCGGCACTCTATACTGGTGTATCTAACATGAGAGGGCGTAACCTCGACCTTTGACCACAAAGTAGATGTTATTAAATTGGTTCATTTGTCCCCGTGTCTTCTCCAAAACGATCTCTCCCAGGAGTCCTTCAACGTTTTATTTATACTACAGCAGAACAAATAACCAAATAGTTCCAATCTGCGGATTTGAGGTTAGAAATCGAGCAATATTCTATATTCCTCTTATTGTCAACAAGTCCCTTGAAAAACACCTGAATTGAATCCAGACTATAAATGATAGAATTGGAAGTATTAAGAAAAGTTGATACTGTGAAGTAGAGCATCAAATATGTATCCATCCGCAGCTGAAAATAGTCCCAAAAGATCTTTTTTGTATATAAATCCTGGGATATTGATAATGAAATAAAGACTAGTTAATGAGAAGCTAATCAGATTTAAATTAAGAGAATGAAACAGTAAACTAGAGCCTTTCTCTGTTGTTGTGATAATCACTCAAACCTGGGACATTAAACCTCTGGTGCAGTTCAGATGCAGACACAGAGACAGGGTATGAACCCAGATATATCTTCATCCAGCTGGCAGCTCCTCAGCCCTTTTTTCTGGGTGTTATAGCCCGAAAGCAACAAAACAGGGAGATCTGAAGTGTAGTTTGACACAGGATCGAACCACTTCAGACCCCCGAAAAACCACATGAACACAAACTGGCAGAGAACAAAGCAACCACAGAAACACAAGCTTTGTTCAAGGCTACATTCCTCTGGAGCCGAGAGAAAGGGAAATTATACGTTCAAAAGCTCTTCAAGGATTTTACTTAGAAATCCTGAAGGCAAGTGGAGTCTAAGAAAAGCTTCAAGTGTTTTTTGTGCCTTAAGGATATTTGAATGTGTTTGTTTAGTAGCTTTGTCCAGTTGTACCAGTTGAAGCACTGAACTGGCATCAGAATAGTTTCTCCTTGTCGTTTCATCTCCAAGTTAAGAAGTATTTCTGTGTGCTCTGCATTTAAGGCTTTTTGGAGCTGCCAGCGGATCAGATCACACTCATTTCAATACATTTCAATATGTCAGGGAAGCCAGAGACTCAGGTGCTGGTTTGACCACCTGAACCTGCCGCAATGCCTTGTGGGAGTTGTAGTCAGGTTTAGTAAAGCAGCAGCGTTTAAAACAGCAGAGACACAGACAGGCGAAATGACAGAAGCACAGAATTATTAGGAAAGGTATATTAAAACACAACAAGTGGGTAAAAGGAAGCAGAGACCCAGAGAACACACAAGGAGCAGCCTGGAGGAGCTAAACGCACAGGCAGGGGAAAGCAAAAGACTTCAAGCCGTCACTGGGCTGAGCTGATAGCGGCCAGAGTGCAGTGTGTGTGTTTTAATGTGTGTGTGACATGCAGATTTCATTTGTGAGGGGGGTGGGGGGTGGGTGGGGGGGGAGGTAGAGGGACATTAGTGGGATGTTTTTTTTTTTTACTGATTTGAGTGAAAGTTTTCTCCATGAGGTCCCGGATGTTTTTAGTGATCGATAAGCAGAAGGGGGGGAGGGGGGAGTTTTATTTTTTTAGAAGGAGCAGCAGCCGCTTCCTGGACCTCAGGAAGTGATGTTCACTCTGACACATCGCTCTGTTTGTCTGTGGATGTTCAAAGGACTTCATGAACACTTCATCAAGTCTGCTTGAGGATATCTTTGGTACCTTGTTTTGGTCATTTTTGACTTTTTCTTTCAAGCTAAAAGGTCACAAATGGTATGTTTGGTTTTAACAGAAGCACCCACACGACAATGTATTGATTTGTGACTTAAATGACTACAAATGGCAACTAAAATTAGGAAGACAAAATATTGGGATCTTCTTTTAAGATATCGGCATTTTTCCAATTTAATTTATAAAGCACATTTTTTTTTATTTGTAGTGTAAAGTTTTTTTGATTATTAATATTTTATTTGTATTTATATTTTTGTGCAAATATGTTTTTTTATTTCAAGTAAAAAATCCTTTATTTTTAAATATTATAATCATTTTAAAACCCTTTTTTTTTTACATTTTAATTCCTTTTTCTGTGTTTATATTTGCACCACGTACACCAAAGCAAATCCCTCAAACCTTAAATCTAAATCGTCGGGGCGTTCTGGTACCTTTTTTTAAAAACAGCCACAGACAAAGAAGAGTCCTTTCACTCCTGTGGTGAGCTTCATGACATGTTGGTGAGATGAGCGCTGATATTTTATTTGAGTGATTGATGGGGTTTGTGTGAAGCCAATGTTGTGTCTCCTTCCCTTTAAAGCCAACACCGCTAAGCAGCAACAAACCAGACACAAAGAGGCGGCGAGCGACAACACCAACAGTACTCTGATTGGCTCTGAAGGCTCTGGATCTGCAGCAGAAGTGGCGAGATTATCGATTGCTTTTTCTGTCCTGATTGACGGGGAGTTTGATTGGTGGAAGAGAAAATTACCGGGAGGAGGAGGAGGGGGAGATACTGATCGTCTCGAAGTATTTTTATCCACATGTATATAATAATAACACAAAGAAACGGAAATGGTGGAAAATGAAAAAAGGCTTTTCCTAGTGAAGCTCAACTAAGAAGGGAGGGAAGATTGATGAGAGGGAGACGGGGGAGTTGGTTTGGTGGAAGAGAAAATTATCGGTGGGGGGGGGAGGTACTGATTCTCTCGAAAAAAGAGGGAGGTATTTTTTTTATCACATGTATAAAATAACAGAAAGTCATTAGACAAACACAAAGAGGGGAAACGGTGGAAAATGAAAAAAGGCTCTTCTAGTGAAAGTACAATATAAAGACAGCTACTCTAAGAAGGGTGTGAGAGTGAGAGTGAGGGGGGGGGTGGCGCCTCTGGGCCGGACTCCCCTCTCCTCGTCTACCTTTGAACCCCCCGGGGGGCACGGAGCTGGGCTTGGCAGGAAGGGGGGGGCCTGTACTGTTGGAGTTGTTGTTGACCGGCATCTGGAACGAGCTAGACAGGAAGATCCCGTCGGAAAGAGGGCGGGGCTTGCGCGCAGTGGGCGGCGGCTGAGGCCTGCTGTGATTGGGCGCCGCCGGGAGGTCGCCGTACGACTTCCTGGTGGCCGACAGCTTCACCTGACCTGATTGGTTTCCGCCGCCAACGCCTTCTTCCTCCTCCTCGTCTTCCTCCTCCTCCTCCTCGCCTGCGTAGGAGACGAAGGTGGCGGTGTAGAGCGTGTCGGGGGAGGCGACCTGCGTTTTGAGGTAGGAGGTGTTTCTCTGTGGGGGGGGCGGGGGGGTGTTAGTAGGGTTTAGGGGGGGTGCGGGGGGCTGGTAGTCCCGGGGCAGCGGGGGCCGGTACAGACCGGAGGGGGGGTCGTCGGGGGTCAGCAGCTTCCTCTCCGCCACGTCGTGCTGCCGGCGACGCTCCGCCTCCAGACGGGTGTAGTACTCCTCCTCCTGTCTCCTCTGAGGGAGGGACAACCCGTTAGTACGCTCTCATTGGCTCTCACCTCAGCAATGGACACTAACTGACCAATCAGCTACGAGATATACTAGGGGGAATATTCAACTCGTCAGAAAAGTCGCTTCCTGCTTTAACACCTTGATAACAATCAGCTATCACTTGTCTTACACTCCACAAAGATGTCAACCAATCAGCTACGAGATACAACTAGCGGGAAATATTCAACTCGTCAAAAAAGCTCCACTGCCCTGCTGCTACTTCCTGCTTTAACACCTTGATAACAACCTTATTCTGGGATGAAATGCAGTCTTACACGACACAGAGATCTGCTACGAACAGTCCAACACGTCTACCAATCAGCTACGAGATACAAATGGGGAGAATATTCCACTCGTCAAAAAGCTCCACTTCTCTGCTGCTACTTCCTGTTTCAAATTCTGGGACGAACTACACCGGCTTTCCTTACAATACACAAAGATCTACTACAAGTACAAACACCAAGTCCAACATGTCCCCCGTCATCACAGAACTGATTCTAACCGTCTAAAGCAACGACTTCCCGCACAAATCTACAAATAAATACCTTTAAAAACACACATTTCCTTTTGAATAAAACACACATTTTTAAGTGAATTTGGGAAATCTTGCAGTGTGAAAAACACAGATGCCATTTAGCGTATTTATTATAATTATTATTAAGCTTGCATAGCTGCATTTTCTAGCTCAGAGGACTCATCGAATATCGAAATAATAGGCGACAATTATCCTGTCTATCGGCTAATAACTCTCTCTCGAAGAACCAACATCTCCACACTAACTCAATCTGACGTTTTGCAGCTGTTTCTGCACAGAGAGTAAACCGGACCACCCTGTGTACCACCATCTCACCTCTCCCTCAACACAGCAGGAGTGTGTATGCATGTGTGTAACAACCTACATGTCCATATGTGCCTCAGTTTAACATATCGCTTGTGGGTTTTTGACTCCAGCCCACCCTGTGTGCTGATACATGAATCTGCTCTGGAGGAATGTGTTTATATTTCTGCGTTTGGAGCTCCGGGTTTCTGATGTCAGATTGTCTCCGCGTTTTTTTTATTTGTGGATCCGTTTCATGGCATATTTCCTCAGAAACACTGTGGATGTTTCCGAGCTGCTCGTGACGGTGGAATCAGCCCCGTGGGAATCTGAAGAAACTGGGAGGGATTAGTGGGTGTGTGTGGGTTTAAAATGAGTGGGTTTCTGAGTATGGATGACTGAGGGCGGGAATGAGGCACATGATAGGGTTTATATTTCTGTGTGTGTGGTGTGGTGTGTTTGCATGAAAGCATGTGGTTTTTCTTTTGGGAATAGTGGGAGGGTGGGCGGCATTCCCTACACAGAGTTTCTGGAGCGATGCTGGATGGAAATGGTCACAAAAAATTAAAATCATAACTGCTTTCCCTCCAAAAGAAACAACTGAAAATAACTGAACTTCCTGACACACACCAACGACAACAACAACAACAACAACGACAACAACGAGATGGAGTCCCATGCTTGAGGTGGGAGGGAGCACATAACATGACTCAGCAATACGTCACATAGGGTGGGGGGTGCACAACATGAGGACATGCAATTGGACAATAATAAACAAACAACAATAACATCTTAAAAACAATATTTCTTTCACAAGTAAAATGACTTAATTAAACAACGTTTGTCATGAAGTACAACCTAGAAAAAGAGGCAGTGTTATTATATACATTTTAAGATTCTTTGTGAGGTTTTTAAATAACCGGTGGTGTGATCGGCGGTCTACAGTTCACAGGACAAATGCACCAAAATAAAAGGCACCATGGACGGGATGATATAAAAAACACTGAATACGTTTGATTCAACACTCGGGACAATGATGGGATCACACTACTGGTCATTTAAAACCTCACACATACAAAATAATGATTAAAATATTATAACTTTATAACAGATATCACAAGAACATGTGGCCTCGTCAAATAAGCTCAATTTCCTTATGAAGCAAATCAGGCAAAAACATAGAATCTAAGACTTCAATATGTCTTTTTTCATAAGTAAATGAAGCTAGGTCACTGTGTGCAGATTACAGTCACAGAAAAACACATTTAATTGAATTTATAAAGAATAAATATTCAGCAACTTAGTGGATAATGTCTTGTGATTCTCCGGCCGAAGCTCCAAATAAACCGTCAGTGTTTGCCATCAAAGCTCCAGCTCTCCTCGTGTCTCTCTGAGTCCTAAGCTTCAGAAGTTTCCCCCCACACACATATCATACAGCCAGGTTTTTATTTTATTTATATGAGTGTGTAACTGTCTTGTTCCTTTGATGGAGGCAACATTTAAACATCTATTTCAACTGATTAAAATGCTATATTTTAAATGAACACTTGACCATTTTGGGATTCAGTTAGTACACTTTCAGAGGATGTGGATTTACATACATATTGAACGATTTCTCCAAATGCACTTTCCTGGTTATTTAAAAAAACTAAAACGTTACTTAGTTATTTGAACTCTTTGAGAGTGTTGTTTAATAAAGGTATTTATTTGCACATTTGTACTTAAATTATGTTTATCTTATAAATATGTATTTATTTGATTCTAATATGGTGGTCAAAAGCTAAATCCCCCCCCGGATGAATAAACTATTTTGATTGATTAATAATACTTTTTAGTGGCTGTTTTACTACTGGTTCAACCCTCACACTGTCCTGTGATATGGATCGTATTTTGCAGTCTCATAACAAAACGTTCTAAACATCCTACAGTCATTAATGTTCAATAACTTCCAAATATTCAGACGGACAAACGGACCTTTTCCCCGGACTCTCGCTGGGCCTCGTCTCTCCACCTGCGGTCCTCCTCCTGCTTCGCTCGCTCCTCCGCCTCGCGCTTACGGATCTCCTCCAGCTGCTGCTTACGCCTCCGCTCTTCATCCTGCAACTGATCACACACACACACACACACACACACACAACCACACACACACACACAGAGCGACATGCCAAAAAGCACACATGCAAACAAGAAAAACAATTAGTACAACAGGAATCGTTTGCCGTTCAAACACAAACTCTGAAAACATTTCTAACATCTGTCTGAAGTTTTGATGTACACTGACATGTTGTGTGCGATGTGAGGTACGTTTGATTTGTTTCACAGGACCGCTCCAGAGGGGAGGAGCAGTGTGCATTGCAAACACACAGCACAAGCAGCCACACACACACACACACACTCTGCAGAACATGCAAACAACAACAGCGTGCAACAACAACAGCCCCTCTTTCAGCTACCTAAGATGTGTTTAAATTAAAAAGGCAAGCGTAGAGGTCTGCTGCAGAAATGTTCATAAAACCATCGCAACACAAACCCAGTGGGGTACGCTGACAACCCAAACAAACAGACCCTTTCTCTGGCTGAATGGTGGGTAAGGGTCAGCTGGACACACAGACGGATGAACGGATGAATGAATGAATGAATGACACGTGTGAACACGACACCATGATGTGAACTTGCTCAGGCAGCTAGCGGGGGGCTCACTGGACTCTCATGCATGTTTTCTCCACCTGGACCCCCCCCCTGTGATGGATTCAGCCATGCAGGCGCCACCTCCATATGCACTCAAAACATTCCTGCTGACAAGAACCACAACACCCTCACCCCTGATAGAAATCATGAGAAATAACTGTATTTTAAATCAAGAATAAGCAGCAGCGGTCTTCCCCCCCCCCCAGCAGTTGTTTTGAGTGGACAGAGAGATGGACGGCTTCCCAAACAACATCAAGCGCTCCCCTCAACATGAACGACTGCTCTTTAGATAATCCCCCCCCCCCCCCATTTCCCCTCGACACCCACCCCCAAAATGACACGACGACAGTAAATCCAGATGGGTGGGGGGGGGGGACAGAGAGGAAACGCGGGCAGGTGGGCGGCCCAGACAGGAAACAGGAAGTGATGTAAGGGCAGGGGAGAGGAAACTGGTCATTAACAGGAAGAACATACCAAGTCTAGAACAGAGATAGCTGGGACAGAATTCTGCTGCTGAAGAAGAAGAAGACAATAGAGTTTGAGAGCGGGGAGATAGGGAGGGAGGGGAGGGGGATACCCAAATAGTTCAAGAAAAGGTGAGAGGGGAGGTATATATAAAACTAGAGGAGAGGGGGAGAAACTGAAGGGGGATTAGAAATTAAAGAAGGGAGGCAAACAGTAAAGTAAAAGCATTGTTTTGCTCCACTGCACCACCTGACCACATGGCTCAGTATTTGTGTCTTTCAAAATGTGGAATTCATATGTATTGATTTTAAATAGTAAATACAAAAGGTGAAATAATATGGGTAAAATCTGAAATGTGCTGCGAAATATTCATTTGTTTGGCCAATTAAGTTTTCTGTTTTAATTACGTCAAGTATCGCCCTTTCTCTCACCTCTGCATTGCCCTTTCTCTCACCTCTGCATTGCCCTTTCTCTCACTTCTGCATCGCCCTTTCTCTCACTTCTGCATCGCCCTTTCTCTCACCTCTGCATCGCCCTTTCTCTCACCTCTGCATCGCCCTTTCTCTCACTTCTGCATCGCCCTTCTCTCACTTCTGCGTCGCCCTTTCTCTTTCTCTCACTTCTGCATCGCCCTTTCTCTCACTTCCTGCATCGCCCTTTCTCTCACTTCTGCGTCGCCCTTTCTCTCACTTCTGCTGGTCGCCCTTTCTCTCACTTCTGCGTCGCCCTTTCCTCTCACTTCTCTTCTTGCTTCGCTGCTCGCCCTTTCTCTCACTTCTGCGTCGCCCTTGTCTCTCACTTCTGCGTCGCCCTTTCTCTCACTTCTGCATCGCCCTTTCTCTCACTTCTGCATCTCCCTTTCTCTCACTTCTGCATCGCCCTCTTCTCTCACTTCTGCGTCGCCCTTTCTCTTTCTCTCACTTCTGCATCTCCTTTCTCTCACTTCTGCATCGCCCTTTCTCTCACTTCTGCATCGCCCTTTCTCTCTATCTGCGTCGCCTTCTTCTCTCACTTCTGCGTCGCCCTTCTCTCACTTCTGCGTCGCCCTTTTCTCTCACTTCTGCTCGCCCTTTCTCTGCACTTCTGCATCGCCCTTTCTCTCACTTCTGCATCGCCCTTTCTCCTCTACTTCTGCGTCGCCTTTTTCTCACTTCTGCGTCGCCCTTTCTCTCACTTCTGCTTCGCCCTTTCTCTCACTTCTGCATCGCCCTTTCTCTCACTTCTGCATCTCCCTTTCTCTCACTTCTGCATCGCCCTTTCTCTCACCTCTGCATCGCCCTTTCTCTCTCTTCTGCATCTCCCTTTCTCTCACCTCTGCATCGCCCTTTCTCTCACCTCTGCATCGCCCTTTCTCTCACTTCTGCATCGCCCTTTCTCTCACTTCTGAATCGCCCTTTCTCTCACTTCTGCACCGCCCTTTCTCTCACTTCTACTTCACCGTGTCATCCTCCTGAGTACTACACATCTTGTTCTCCAAGTGAAGTGCCTTTCTGGCATTATGTGCATTACAGGTTTGCCCCTTATTGCTTACTGCTGCACAATGATGAACCTAAGTCTAACTAGTTTTACTTGATTATTTATCTTATCTCGTCAGAATAAAGGGTCTTGTCATAACCTGTTGAGGGTACTCGAGGCACATGCTGGCACCTTATCATCCTAAGCACAATATACTTAAAAAATTCCGAACCAAATTTGTATTTATGCAATCCAAAATACTCATGAGGAGTCTTTGAGGATATAAAAAACTGTTTGGGTTAAGCCTTGGGACTAACTAGAAAAGACTTTCAATACCCTTGACCTTCACTGTAAACTTGACTGGTAAACTGTTAGATGTCATACTTGCAGAAACCGCAGAAAACACACACACACACACACACACACACACACACAACACACACACACAAGCACAACGACACACACACAACACACACACACACACACATCACACAGCACACACACACACACACACACACACACACACAGCATACAACACACACACACACCACAACACACACAACACACACACACACGGGACACACACAACACACAGCAACACACACACACACACACATACACAGCACACACTACACACTACACACACACAGCTACGACACACATGTCCCAAACCACACACCACACAAATATTTCTTTACTAATCTTCGATTAATCTCCATAAATCTTCCTCAATCATCTGTGTTTTTTATACTCTATGGTCACGGTTTCATTCTTGCTGTGCAACATGCTGCATTTGCATAATATGGACAAAGCACACCAGTTGTAAAGTAAAGTAGATTTGAAAGTCTTTTTGACACAAGGACGCAGCTGTTGGCTCTAAAACCACTCGTGTGTTCAGCGTAGGAACCAACACACCTACAGGAGCATACATCACAACTCAGTTATATCCATATGATGTAAATGCAGCATTAACAACATCTTCAGCGGCTGCCTGTCTGCATGCCCGTATCCCCGTCCACCCCTCCAGCCAAATCGGATTGAAGCAGCTCAGCATGGCAAGCGATGACAGAAGCATGTTGCAGATGCACATTGGCAGGACATTCATAGAGGGAGGAATCCATTTGAAAGACGGCTCTGTTTCCCCCACTTCCTGTGGCTCACTACACTGTGAGCTAATGGAGATCATTACTTGAAGACAGAAGTTTCATTCCTTACAAAATACCCTTGCAATGATACGATTCTACTTGTTTCTGTAGTCTTGCAGTAATGTACATTCCCAAAGATATTGAAGTGACTGTTATTTCGTATATATGATTGTTGTGCTTAATGTGTGTGTGCATATGTAGGAATGTGTCTGTTGATTGTGTATATATATATATAGGATATACATATTTTAATATATATTTGTACTCAGGATTGTGGGAAACGGTATTTCGATCTCATTCTGTACGCACAACTGAACGATTGACAATAATGGTGACTTTGACTTCCCTCACCTTCCTCGTCTTCCTTGTCATTTAAACTTCTAAATTGACTATATATCTCTTATCTCTATCTCTCTGTCTTTCATTCAGCTTCTTTCCTCCACCCCTCCATGTTTCTATCTATCCGCTTCCCCCCGTCTCAACCCTGGCTCTCTTCTCGGCCTCCAGCCTCTGCATGATCATCATGGTGTCCACGTCCTCGTCGTCCTCCCTCCTCCTCGTCTTCATCGCTGTGCTTGGACTCCTGCAGTCGTTCTTCTGAACCTGCCACTCTCCAGCATCAGCTTCCTGAGGCGGGTCGCTCTCCTCCGCCGTTCGCCTCCGGTTTCGACTAGAAAAAGAAATAATATTCTTAGATCTGGATCGGCTTTTTGTAAATCCATAACTCATTATCTCTTAAAGGTCCCCTATTATACTGTTCTTCATCAATATATTATAGGTCTCAGATATATACAGAACCTGTCTCTGATTGGCTGAAAAACCAAACAGATCATTGCAGCATCCCATAATCCCCCTCTGTTTCAGCCCTGTTTCCAAGTGCTGATTCTCTGTCTGTTACTTTAGATGAAAATAAGGAGCCCCTCCCCACGCCCCTCTGAGAGAGATTTGGTTAAAAAGAACACAATGGTGCTCTAGGAGGAGATTCAGGTGATAAGGTGGGGGGGGGGGTTACCTTGGTTGCTGATTGGCTAATGGTTACACAAGACAAAACATCGTTATGACATCATCAAGTGGCCAAAATCTGATCAGCTCATTTTCAGACAGGTTTTTATAGAAATGGATCAGGACAAAAAGAGAGAGAATCTTTGTTCCTGAGACTTTCAGAGTCTCTTTCCACAGAGGGGACACATGTTGATGTAGAAGAGACATGAAGAAGAGAGGACACATGTTGATGTAGAAGAGACATGAAGAAGAGGGGACACATGTTGATGTAGAAGAGACATGAAGAAGAGGGGACACATGTTGATGAAGAAGAGACATGAAGAAGAGGGGACACATGTGATAGAAGAGACATGAAGAAGAGGGACACATGTTGATGAGAAGAGACATGAAGAAGAGGGGACACATGTTGATGAAAAGAGACATGAAGAAGAGGGGACACATGTTGATGTAGAAGAGACATGAAGAAGAGGGGACACATGTTGATGTAGACGAGACATGAAGAAGAGGGACACATGTTGATGTAGAAGACATGAAGAAGAGGGGACACATGTTGATGTAGAAGAGACATGAAGAGAGGGGACACATGTTGATGTAGAAGAGACATGAAGAAGAGGGGACACATGTTGATGTAGAAGAGACATGAAGAAGAGGGGACACATGTTGATGAGAAGAGACATGAAGAAGAGGGGACACATGTTGATGAAGAAGACATGAAGAAGAGGGGACACATGTTGATGTAGAAGAGACATGAAGAAGAGGGGACACATGTTGATGTAGAAGAGACATGAAGAAGAGGGGACACATGTTGATGTAGAAGAGACATGAAGAAGAGGGGACACATGTTGATGTAGAAGAGACATGAAGAAGAGGGGACACATGTTGATGTAGAAGAGACATGAAAGAGGGGACACATGTTGATGTAGAAGAGACATGAAGAAGAGGGGACACATGTTGATGTAGAAGAGACATGAAGAAGAGGGGACACATGTTGATGTAGAAGAGACATGAAGAAGAGGGGACACATGTGATGTAGAAGAGACATGAGAGAGGGACACAGTTGATGTAGAAGAGACATGAAGAAGAGGGGACACATGTTGATGTAGAAGAGACATGAACAAGTGGACTTTGCATAATAGGTGACCTTTAAAAGTTGCCCACCTGCAGATCCTGGATCTCTTTGTCCAGCAGGTCTACGATGTGGAGCTGCTGCTGCTTCTCAGCCTTCTCGCGGGCGTCTCTCTTCCAGGGGTCTGGAGAGAGGCTGTCGCTGGTGGAGAGCTCCTCCTTACTGATGGTGATGTACTGCAGGTCTCTCCTCTCGATGGTGCGCGGCTGCTGCTGCGGCAACAGCTCCCGGATCACCGTGTCCATGCCTGCAGCAAGTTAGAAACAACATTATTATATATATATATATATATATATATATACGAATAAAAGCAGCCTAGAAGTCAGCTTCTCCGTTAGAAAAAATTGAGGATTTCAATGTCCCAAACACGAAATCAAGCGCAGTTTTATTTCTGTCTTGTATTGAAAATGCAAGGACACACTACTACAAGTCACAGACTCTTAAGGCCCGGACACACTAGCCCGATTTTGGGAGTCAGAGGCAGTCGGGCATTCGCGGCGCCCTACTCAGGTTTGTGTGTCCCGCACCGTCGTGTCTTTACGGCACCTTTTCACTTTTGAAAAGGTGCCGTGGAGGTCAGGAGGTCGGGAGGTCAGAGAAAGTCGGGACAAGCAATCACTCTGATTGGCTGTTCACACTACCGCTGCCTGCTGGTAAGGACAGTTATTGCCACTCGTCGACTGAAGTATTTGCGGTGTGTTAGTAGGCGGGCGGCGTAGGCGACGTAAAAGTCGGGAAAAGTCGGGACGCGTTCTTTGGTCTCAGGTGGGTGTGTGCCTTTAGATGAAGCATTAAATATAAGAATCAGGATTAAAAAGAGAAGTGGTTTTACCTGCAGGGTGGGAGGAGGCGGGGGGGGGGACGGCGGACCGCGGCAGGCTGGCGAGCTTCTCCGGTCTGGGCGGGGGGGCTGAGGCTGGGGGGTAGGTAGGGCATGGGGGGGGTCACTGAGGGGAGGGGGGGCTGCTGGTGGTGAGGTGGGGGCTGCTGGTGGTGAGGTGGGGGCTGCTGGTGGTGAGGGGGGGGCATGGAGCCTCCATTGTTGTGAGGCTGGACGGGCATCACAGGGTTGGCCCGGATCTGACCCAGCTTCCTCTCCTGCTCCCTCCTCTTCCTCTCCCTGGAAACCAGCAGCAATATTGTTAGAAATTATTATAGTTATTATGTGTTTGTGTTTTTATCAAGTTCTGTTGCTTTTATCGCTTAGAATGTTTAACAAAGTGTACGGTGTCCTTAGGTGTCATGAAAGGCGCCTTAAATAAAATGTATTATTATTATTATAGTCAAGAATTGAATGTTTGTTATTATTTATATTTTAGGTTTAAATTCGTCTCTGTGTGTCTGTGTGCTTTTGTAAGAGTCTACGGTTAAATGCATGGGACATTAATCAATCGGATAAATCTAATAGAAGATGATATAACAAAAAAATAAGAATAAGAAAAACAAAAGGCTCTAAAATGTTACGTAAACCAAAAAAACAATACAAGACTAGACAAAACTACAGAAATGATGACAAAACGGTAAAAAGGAAACTATACAAAACACAAGAAGCAAAACTAAACTAAACTATACAAAGGACCCCACCTCTCCCTCCTCCAGCCGAGCCTTCTCCTTCTCGTACCAGCGCTGCTGCTCCTCCCGTTTCTTCCGGTCCGCGGCCTGCTGGGCGTTAGCGGGGAGACGGCGGCGGGCGGGGGGGCAGCGGGAGCTCCGGCTGGGGCTCGTAGGCATCGTAGGGGTCGGGGTAAGGGGCCGGAGGAGGAGGGGGGGAGGGGGGAGGTCGGAGCGGGAGGGGGTCCCTGCTGGGCTGGGGGGCAGCGTGGGGGGCGTTGGGGGTCTTCCATCGACCCGGACCTGTCTTCTGGTTCAGGGTCTTGTTGGAGGAGGAGGAGGAGGCGGAGAAGTTGAGGTGTTCCTGACTGGAGGTGGACGACTCCAACGAGGAGGAGACCTGAGGCTGAGGGGCCCAGTGCTCAGGACCCCCTGGAGAGAAACAGAAA